TTCCAACAAGTTGGCCATCTCCCACCTAGGCAGGGTGACCCAATTTATTTTTATTTTATTTTTTTATCACACTGGCCGATTCCCACCAAGGCAGGGTGGCCCGAAAAAGAAAAACTTTCACCATCATTCACTCCATCACTGTCTTGCCAGAAGGGTGCTTTACACTACAGTTTTTAAAATGCAACATTAACACCCCTCCTTCAGAGTGCAGGCACTGTACTTCCCATCTCCAGGACTCAAGTCCGACCTGCCAGTTTCCCTGAACCCCTTCATAAATGTTACTTTGCTCACACTCCAACAGCACGTCAAGTATTAAAAACCATTTGTCTATTCACTCCTATCAAACACGCTCACGCATGCCTGCTGGAAGTCCAAGCCCCTCGCACACAAAACCTCCTTTACCCCCTCCCTCCAACCTTTCCTAGGCCGACCCCTACCCCGCCTTCCTTCCACTACAGACTGATACACTCTTGAAGTCACTCTGTTTCGCTCCATTCTCTCTACATGTCCGAACCACCTCAACAACCCTTCCTCAGCCCTCTGGACAACAGTTTTGGTAATCCCGCACCTCCTCCTAACTTCCAAACTACGAATTCTCTGCATTATATTCACACCACACATTGCCCTCAGACATGACATCTCCACTGCCTCCAGCCTTCTCCTCGCTGCAACATTCATCACCCATGCTTCACACCCATATAAGAGCGTTGGTAAAACTATATATCTCATACATTCCCCTCCTTACCTCCAAGCACAAAGTTCTTTGTCTCCACAGACTCCTAAGTGCACCACTCACCCTTTTCCCCTCATCAATTCTATGATTCACCTCATCTTTCATAGACCCATCCGCTGACACGTCCACTCCCAAATATCTGAATACATTCACCTCCTCCAAACTCTCTCCCTCCAATCTGATATCCAATCTTTCATCACCTAATCTTTTTGTTATCCTCATAACCTTACTCTTTCCTGTATTCACTTTTAATTTTCTTCTTTTGCACAGCCTACCAAATTCATCCACCAATCTCTGCAACTTCTCTTCAGAATCTCCCAAGAGCACAGTGTCATCAGCAAAGAGCAACTGTGACAGCTCCCACTTTGTGTGTGATTCTTTATCTTTTAACTCCATGCCTCTTGCCAAGACCCTCACATTTACTTCTCTTACAACCCCATCTATAAATATATTAAACAACCACGGTGACATCACGCATCCTTGTCTAAGGCCTACTTTTACTGGGAAATAATTTCCCTCTTTCCTACATACTCTAACTTGAGCCTCACTATCCTTGTAAAAACTCTTCACTGCTTTCAGTAACCTACCTCCTACATCATACACCTGCAACATCTGCCACATTGCCCCTCTATCCACCCTGTCACAAGCCTTTTCCAAATCCATAAATGCCACAAAGACCTCTTTAGCCTTATCTAAATACTGTTCACTTGTATGTTTCACTGTAAACACCTGGTCCACACACTCCCTACCTTTCCTAAAGCCTCCTTGTTCATCTGCTATCCTATTCTCCGTCTTACTCTTAATTCTTTCAATAATAACCCTACCATACACTTTACCAGGTATACTCAACAGACTTATCCCCCTATAATTTTTGCACTCTCTTTTGGCCCCTTTGCCTTTATACAAAGGAACTATGCATGCTCTCTGCCAATCCCTAGGTACCTTACCCTCTTCCATACATTTATTAAATAATTGCACCAACCACTCCAAAACTATATCCCTACCTGCTTTTAACATTTCTATCTTTATCCCATCATCCCCGGCTGCCTTACCCCCTTTCATTTTACCTACTGCCTCACGAACTTCCCCCACACTCACAACTGGCTCTTCCTCACTCCTACAAGATGTTATTCCTCCTTGCCCTATACACGAAATCACAGCTTCCCTATCTTCATCAACATTTAACAATTCCTCAAAATATTTCCTCCATCTTCCCAATACCTCTAACTCTCTTCTCCTATTTTTAACTGACAAATCCATTTGTTCTCTAGGCTTCCTTAACTTGTTTATCTCACTCCAAAACTTTTTCTTATTTTCAACAAAATTTGTTGATAACATCTCACCCACTCTCTCATTTGCTCTCTTTTTACATTGCTTCACCACACTCTTAACCTCTCTCTTTTCCTCCATATACTCTTCCCTCCTTGCATCACTTCTACTTTGTAAAAACTTCTCATATGCTAACTTTTTCTCCCTTACTACTCTCTTTACATCATCATTCCACCAATCGCTCCTCTTCCCTCCCGCACCCACTTTCCTGTAATCCTGTAACCACAAACTTCTGCTGAACACTCTAACACTACATTTTTAAACCTACCCCATACCTCTTTGACCCCATTGCCTATGCTCTCATTAGCCCATCTATCCTCCAATAACTGTTTATATCTTACCCTAACTGCCTCCTCTTTTAGTTTATAAACCTTCACCTCTCTCTTCCCTGATGCTTCTATTCTCCTTGTATCCCATCTACCTTTACTCTCAGTGTAGCTACAACTAGAAAGTGATCTGATATATCTGTGGCCCCTCTATAAACATGTACATCCTGAAGTCTACTCAACAGTCTTTTATCTACCAATACATAATCAACAAACTACTGTCATTTCACCCTACATCATATCTTGTATACTTATTTATCCTCTTTTTCTTCAAATATGTATTACCTATAACTAAACCCCTTTCTATACAAAGTTCAATCAAAGGGCTCCCATTATCATTTACACCTGGCACCCCAAACTTACCTACCACACCCTCTCTAAAAGTTTCTCCTACTTTAGCATTCAGGTCCCCTACCACAATTACTCTCTCACTTGGTTCAAAGGCTTCTATACATTCACTTAACATCTCCCAAAATCTCTCTCTCTCCTCTACATTCCTCTCTTCTCCAGGTGTATACATGCTTATTATGACCCACTTTTCGCATCCAACCTTTACTTTAATCCACATATTTCTTGAATTTACACATTCATATTCTCTTTTCTCCTTCCATAACTGATCCTTCAACATTACTGCTACCCCTTCCTTTGCTCTAACTCTCTCAGATACTCCAGATTTAATCCCATTTATTTCCCCCACCGAAACTCCCCTACCCCCTTCAGCTTTGTTTTGCTTAGGGCCAGGACATCCAACTTCTTTTCATTCATAACATCAGCAATCATCTGTTTCTTGTCATCCGCACTACATCCACGCACATTCAAGCATCCCAGTTTTATAAAGTTTTTCTTCTTCTCTTTTTTAGTAAATGTCTACAGGAGAAGGGGTTACTAGCCCATTGCTCCCGGCATTTTAGTCGCCTCATACGACACGCATGGCTTATGGAGGAAAGATTCTTTTCCACTTCCCCATGGACAATAGAAGAAATAAAGAAGAACAAGAGCTATTTAGAAAAAGGAGAAAAACCTAGATGTATGTATATATATATATGCATGTGCGTGTCTGTGAAGTGTGACCAAAGTGTAAGTAGGAGTAGCAAGATATCCCTGTTATCTAGCGTGACCCAATTTACCTTTATATATACTTCTAAACTGTCATATCTGAGCACCTCTGAAAAGACAGTGATTATGTACGAGTGAGGTGAAAGTGTTGAATGATGATGAAAGTATTTTATTTTTGGGGATTTTCTTTCTTTTTTGGGTCACCCTGCCTCGGTGGGAGATGGCCGACTTGTTGGAAAAAAAAAAAAAAGACAGGATAAAAGAGCAGCAATGTGAAAACTGCAACTTCCATTTATTTAAAATACTTGAATCCTTGCTTTACTTTATCTATATTATCCAGTGAAAAGTTTTAAAAATTACCATTAGATCCATTAAGGGAAAGACTATAAACAGTTTTTACAACAAAGAATATACTTAAGACTACCTTTTGAAGACTACTCAAAAACAGGAGAAATAATATGCTCTTTTTTTTTCACATCACTATTACCCTAGTAAGAATCCTTTAGCAAACAGACGTTTCCATTGCACCTACTTTTCACCCCAGATTTACACACCCTCTGTGATCCTTTTCCTTTCCCTATTCTCTCCCTGGACCAATCCTCCAAATTGCCTCTTACATTATAAATTTATTTCTTACTAATTTTACACTATTTTCAATAAAAAAATTCTTCATTCTACACAAAAATTTATAAGAGGAGAGAAGAAAGGGAGAATATGAAGAAAAAAAAAAACTTAGGAGATAAAGCTTATCTTTCTTTCTTTCAACACACCGGCTGTATCCCACCGAGGCGGGGTGGCCCAAAAGGAAAACAAAAGTTTCTCCTTTTACATTTAGTAATATATACAGGAAAAGAGGTTACTAGCCCCTTGCTCCCGGCATTTTAGTCGCCTCTTACAACACGCATGGCTTACGGAGGAAGAATTCTGTTCCACTTCCCCATGGAGATAAGGGGAAATAAACAAGAATAAGAACTAGAAAGAAAATAGAAGAAAACCCAGAGGGGTGTGTATATATATGCTTGTACATGTATGTGTAGTGTGACCTAAGTGTAAGTAGAAGTAGCAAGACGTACCTGAAATCTTGCATGTTCATGAGACAGAAAAAAGGACACCAGCAATCCTACCATCATGTAAAACAATTACAGGCTTTCGTTTTACACTCACTTGGCAGGACGGTAGTACCTCCCTGGGCGGTTGCTGTCTACCAACCTACTACCTAGGGATAAAGCTTATAGCTTCAGTAAAAGTGCCCTTGATTCACAACTGAGGTTCTATCCCAGCATAAGTGTGGCACATTTCTTTACACTTGCTGCCCCTGTTCACACAGAAGTAAGGAGGTATCTGGGTGTTAGCTGGCTACTGAGTTGCCTCCCAGGAGAGGTGTTAGTGTAACAAATCAACTGATACTTGACTCTACTGCTTGCAACATCTCACTCATATTACAAAATAGCAATTCACTTCCTCTCTTTTAAGTCATATAATTTACATGACCTGAAACCACTAATCATGATAATTTTAATCTTGCTATTAGATAATATAAAACTCCAAAATAGTACCTGAGCCAAGTGTCAACCCAGTTGGTGGAAGGATTGAAGTATAATATGCGTTCTAATGAGAGAGAAAACAGCACTTCATGGTGAGCCGATCTTGGAACAGATGATACATACAAGTTTGACACGAACTGATCGTGAGCCACACATACCATCACCTACAACACAGAAATTAAATACCATTAAAAATCACAACTACAAAACATTACAAAAGCTGTAACATTAAAAAATTCCCCTTTTTTTTAACCCTTTGACTGTCACAAACCCCAATCCTGAGATGTCTCCTGGTGTCGCAAAATTTAAAAAAAAAAAAAAAAAAAAAAAAAAAAAAAAAAAAAAAAAAAAAAAAAAATTATTTTTCTTATGAAATGACAGAGAATCTTTTCTTGATTGTAATGTCACCAAAAAATCAAAATTTGATGGAAAACTGATGGAATTACGCTCTTGCAAAGTTAGCGACCTCGACAATATTTACAAATCGGCGATTTCGCCCACTTTGAGCCCTATATTCGGCTAATTCCATTGTTCCAGTCGGCCAAACTCATAGCTATTTCTTTAGAACTCCATTTTTTCTATCTATTGAGTACAAGAAACTGCCCATTTACCGATTTCAACTACCCAATAACGTGGTCAGAAATTTGCAATTTGGCCAATTTCACGAAAATTAAAAAATATGACAATTTCAAAATATGGTCCAGAATGAACAATGCAGACATTCCTGGCTCTAAAATAACATTTTCTTTGTTCATCAGTCACGTCTCCAGGCCCCTCTGATATTACTCTTGCTTCCTATTTTGAATTTTTATCCAGGCCCCTCTGATATCACTCTTGCTTTCTATTTTGAATTTTTATTCAACAAAAAATAGAAGATTTACTGTTATGCAGACTACTGCAATATTGTAATAATTGCACAAATAATGTCAACCCATTCATGACTGCATATTAGAATGGCTAGTTGGACATTTATTGGACAATGACATCATTTGTTTACTTTTGAACATCGGCAAAAATCAAACATTTCCCCTACTTTGAGCTCCATTTCCAGGTTCTTTTTATAGTAAAACCAATCAAAAAATTTCTATAATATGTTTTCCATTCTATCAAATGAGACCAAGAAAACGAGAATAGAACCATAAATACTATACAAAAATAGACCACAAAGTCAGCATTTTAATTAAAAAAAAAAAAACGGTCAGTTTTTTTCCCTCATTATGCACTGCATGCTCCAGGATTTCTTTTATATGGTGCAGGAGAAAGCCTATATCAAGCAGGAGAAAACCTACCAGCTTTCTCCTGCTTGATTTGAAGCCGCTAGAATTTGAGTATATATACGCCAAACACAGTACCTCGTAAGACGTATATATACGACCAACACAGTCAAAGGGTTAAGAACATAAGAAAGAAGGAACACTGCAACAGGCCTACTGCCCCATGCGGAGCAGGTCCATGTCCCCCCCCAGATTAGCCCAATGACCCCCCCCCTCCCCCTGCCAGATTAGCCCAGTGACCCACCCAGTCTGGCCACCTCCACTCAAGGATGGAGCACAGCACCAGACCCAGCAGCACAAGCTAGTCAGGTCCAACTCACACCCACTCATGTATTTATCTAACCTATTTTTAAAACTACACAACGTTTTAGCCTGAATAACTGTACTCAGGAGTTTGTTCCACTCATCCACAACTCTATTACCAAACCAGTGCTTTCCTATATCTTTTCTGAATCTGAATTTTTCCAACTTGAAACCACTGCTGCGAGTCCTGTCTTGGCTGGAAATTTTCAGCACGCTATTTACATCCCCTTTATTTATTCCTGTCTCCCACCAAGGTAGGGAGACAGCCTCTCCTCCATTAGCGACATACTTGTTTACTGATGACTTGGACTTACGACAGGCTCTCTGACCAGTATGCATACCTAAATGATGTATATTAAAGTTGATCTCTATTCTGTTTATACAGTACACTACTATATGAACATTTAAAAATATACCAGAAATGTTATAAATGGTGCAAAGGTGACATTAAAACAATATCAAAGATGGTTGACACAAAACCACTACCATTATAGCATACGTACTCCTCACTCAGCGATGAATTTATTTACAGACATGTTCTTAAGAATGGCACTCCATCCTTAAGAATGGAACTCCATCATTAAATGAGAGGCAGTATATTAATTGTCATTCTTTCAATTGTTCTCTTGTCAAAAGCATGCTGACATCACAGTTCAGATGGCACTCCAAACCACAACATCCTCATGCTTCCTTTAACTTTCTGGGTAGCCATCACATGGAATTATGTCACTGATGCCAGGGTCCCCTCACATAGTTCTACACCATGAACTCAGCTCACTTAGGTAACCTATAAGTGGTTATTTCAGACCTAGATAAGAGAGAATGGGTCTGTGCAGTGTGTGTGCACAGTATAAAAAAAACCTAACCCACATGATGCATGATGGGAAAAGGAAAACTCTGACCTTATGTTTGGTTTAAAATTGCTATTTTGAAGTGTCTTCTAGGATAGTTTTCATGGTTTTATTACCCATTTCTTGGTAGCATCTGACAGAATGGAAGGCATACTCCTGAAATAGTGATTATTTTTGTTGAATTCATAAATGGAAGTAGTTCTGCCGATTTACCTGAGGGTAAGGGCCCCCTACACCCCTGGTATGTTTTATGGGTTTTTATAGGTCTGATTAAATTATTGGAACACCATAAACCCTGACAAATAATTCCTGGTTATATTTTATCTGAGGTATCTCTTAGATGACAATACTTAATGAATGCTGTACTCAGGATTATTCTATACTTCTTTTTTTTTTTTTAAACACATCTCCCACTGAGCAAGGTGACACAAAAAAGAAACACTTTCACCATCATTCACACATAATCACTGTCTTTCCAGACGTGCCTAGATAAGACAGTGCAGATGTAACTCCAAACAGCCAATATCCTAAGCCCCTCCATTGAAGTGCAGGCACTGTACTTCCCACCTCCTGGACTCAAGTCTGGCTAACCGGTTTCCCTGAATCCCTTCACAAAATATTACCCTGCTCACACTCCAACAGCTCATCATGTCCCAACAACTATTCGTATCCATTCACTCCTATCGAACATGCTCACACATGCCTGCTGCATGTCCAGGCCCCTTGCATATAAAACCTCTTTTACCCCCTCTCTCCATCCTTCCCCAAGACAATCCCTACCCCTTCTCCCTTCCACTACAGATTTATACACCCTCCAAGTCATTCTATTTCACTTCATCCTCTCTAAATGACCAAACCACCTCAATAACCCCTCTGGAGTTCTCTGAATAATACTTTTTGTAACTCCACACCTCCTAATTTCCACACTACAAATTTTCTGCATATTTACACCACACATTGCCCGTAGACACAACATCTCTACTGCCTCCATCCTCCTCCTCCTCACTGCAGCATTCATAACCCATGCTTCACACCCATATAAGTGTGTTGGTATTACTATACCCTCGTACATTCCTTTTTTTGCCTCCATAGTTTTTTTTTTTTTTTTGTCCCAAAAGATACCACTCACCTTTTTTCCTTCAATTCTATGGTTAGCCTTGTCCTTCATAAATCCATCTGCTTACAAATCTTCTCCCAAATATCTAATCACATTCACTTCTTCCATACTCCCCAATTCCCTTCACAAAATATTACCCTGCTCATACTCCAACAGCTCGTCAGATCCCAAAAACCATTTGCTTCCATTTACTCCTATCTAACACGCTCATGCACGCTTGCTGGAAAGCTAAGCCCCTCGCCCACAAAACTTCCTTTACCTGCTGAATTGTACAGAAAATATAAAACACTTATCACTAATCATAAGAGATCACTCAAACTGCTAAAGTAACTTAGTTAAAGCAGACAAGCTACAAACAGAATTTATGACCATTTTGTACTTGTACCTGGCCTTCAGAGATGTCAGCAACATAATAATGTTGATGATGAAGAGTATTCGGAAATTTGGCTCTCAAAAATGGTCCACCTTGGTAAGATATCCACATCTGAAGGGTTGGTCCTCTGGATGGTGATCCTAGAAGATGCTGAATAAGGAAATAATTTAGGAAAAATATAGTATATAAAGACATTACAAAACAATACTATAACAGTAAAAATTATATTCAATAAGGCTAAGACTGAATGAGAATGAATAACAAACACTGATAATATATGGATGAGAGAAGAAAAGAATTTGAAAAAGAAATATTTTTAAGACAGTGCCATCAGATAGTTAGGGTTAGGTTAGGTTTAAGGTTTAGGTATACAATCTCCCACCAAGGTAGGGGTGACCCAAGAATTTACCAACAAATAATTATATAATCAAAAACAAGGAGCAGTGTCAAAAATTACATTATTATACAGGTCTTCCATCACAAATACGGCATCATTGGGACCTGTAATGTGCTGGATTACCAAGTTTGCCGGATTACAGAGTGGTTAGGTTAGAATATACTTAATAAAATTAACCAACTTGATTTGCACAAAGTTCACTGAACATAGGCAAAAATCAAACATTTCCACTACTTTGAGCTCAATTTCAAGGTACTTTTTGTCATGAAACCAATCAAAATCATATCTATTTCTGTAATATATCTTTCATTCAATCAAATGAGACCAAAAAAGCGAGAATATAACCATAAAAACCATACGAAAATATACCGCAAAGAAGCGGCTAATGGCTAAGAAGTGAACTCCCTTATTTCTCTTTTTTTGTGTGTGTGTACGTTAAGAAGCATTTTCCATCATACACTGCCCAAGTTTCAATAAGACAGCCCAACAAACAACTGAGAAAAACATATATTTACCAAAAATCATATATGGCAAGCCCAAGCCAGGTACTGGAAATAAGTCACTTTGACATTTTTGGGTTATCCCAGGTTCTCTATACATATGCTGATATGTATGATAATCTATATAACTGTATTTGTGTATACCTGAATAAACTTACTTATTTACTTACTTCCTTCTATTCTGTCAACTGAGTGCAAGAAACCACTCATTCACCTATTTCAACTACCCAATAGAGGGGTCAGAAATTGGCAATTTGGCTAATTTCACACAAATTTCAACAGATGCCAATTTCAAAATAGGATCCAGAATTAACAATGCAGACATTCCTGGCACTAAAATAACATTTTCTCTGTTCATTAGTTATGGCTTCAGGCCCTTCTTATATTACTCTTGCTTACCATTTAGAATTTTTATTCACACAAAAAATAAAAGATTTACTGTTATGCAGACTACTGAATTATTGTAATAATTGTACAAATGTCAAACCATTCTTGACTGCATATTGAAATTTGGACTGGCAGGCACACATGTATTAGACTTGTTTACTCTTGAACATCGCTAAAGAATGGAACATTTCCGCTACTGTGAGCGCAATTTCAAGGTACTTTTGTTGTGAAAACAATTAAAATCATATCTATTTCTGTAATATATCTTCCATTCTATTAAATAAGACCAAAAAAACGAGAATACAACCATAAAAACCATATGAAAATATACCGCTATGGGGCTGCTAATGGCTGAGAAGTGAACTCTGTTATTTATGGTCTGATTTCCTTCATTTTTGGTGTATGTTAAGAAGCATCTTTCCATCATACATTACCCAGGTTACAATAAGATAGCCCAACAAACAACTGAGAGAAAAAAAAAAAAAATAATAATAATAATAAAAGCTTTATTTACTACATGTACATGGTATACAGGCCTAGATGACATAAGCGACATACTACTAAACAGAAAGCCCCTTGTTATGCTAAGCATTTCAGGCAAATTAGGTCAGTGTCCCAGGATAACACCCACACCAGTCTACTAACACCCAGGTACTCATTTACTGATGGGTGAACAAAGACAACAGGTGTAAAGGAACATGCCCAATGTTTCTACCCTGGCTAGGAATATAATATTTACCAATAATCATATATGGCTAGCCCAAGCTGGGTATTAGAAATAAGCCACTTAAGACTTTTTTGGGTTACCCTAGGTTCTCTATACATATGCTGCTGTGTGTGATAATCAATGAAGAGAAAATAGCTTTTTTGTTTCAGTTTTATGGTGAAGTATGAGTGTAATATCATAGTTAGCCCTGTCCTATACATACTCCATTTTCTCTAATGTAAGCCCCAAGACAGGGATAGGAGAATGGTACTTGTATCCCATATCCTCTTCATACCTCTGTTGAACTGCTCGGTATTATGCCAAAAATTATTTTTTCTGGAGTATTTAACATGTTATTATGTTATTTATATTGTTTATTATGTCATATTAGATCAATTGTGATAGGCAAATATGCCATAGTGTTGATACACCTACCATCCGACTTACGACCTGCTCGACATACGACCATTCGACTTACGACCGTGTTTTCTATGCCAAATTTTTTGGAAATAAACAACTGTTTGTGTTCTACACAGTGTTTATCCTAAACCTTACAGTATAAAATGCAGTACTAACAGCATAAAAAGTAAAGTAAAAAATGAAATACCAAAATAAAACAATAAAATATAGTCATTACAAAAATGTGATGTTGATATTCAGTAGTAAGGTTCGACTTACGCCCATTTTGACTTATGACCAGTTTATTGGAAACAGACTCGGTTGTAAGTCGGATGGTACCTGTATTAGCGTAATAATAAAGCATATTTCCCTGCATCATGAGACTGAGCTCATGGCAACCAACAGTGGCTTCAAAGACACCTTATCTTTAATCGACAATGTACTGTGTAAGTGCTTTACACAACAAGAAGCATTTCTTTTATTCATTGGAACCATGACTAAGGCTAAAAGTAAGCAGGTTACAACAATAAATGGGGAAAAAAAAATTGGAATGACTTATGCAGCATGTGGCAACCCTGGAAATTTGAAATTATGCTAGCCGAAATTAGTGCTGAATAACTGATGGAACTGGTTGTCTGACTGCCGGATTTGTGATGGCAGACCTGTATCTGATCGTTCTTCAATTCTGAAATAAGATGGAGAGCTTATATATATAATAAACAAGCATAAGAAGCAATCCTACCACTTTCTTCACAGCGAAGAGGAATTCGTCTTTCACTTCAAAATCTTCTACACCTCTTATAACTCTTACTGGTGTTGATGATTCACTGGAAAAATGTATACTATATTATCTATCAAAATTTGTTTACAACACAATACTTATCATTAGCTAAAAAAAAAGAAAAAGCACAGAGCACTTGACTACAGGAACATTTTTGTACAGCCTTTCAATGAGTTTATTAGTTTAGGGGACAGTACTTCAGAATTGCCGATGGTACACAAAACCCTTCAAATTCAGGAATAGTATGTATGACCAGTGTTTCAGTAGCTAGGTGGGAAGTAATATTGTGATGCAGCAGCATACACTTAGTACTCACAGAACATGCTCTCAGACATGACAAAATAGTTATCAAACGCTGAAGCCGTGATTTCTGGTACACACAATCAAGTGTAACTCCTATTTTTTTCTTTAAACTATCTTCCAATTGTATATTCCGAAAGGTCAATTACATGATTGAGAGAAGAAAGAGGTAGTGTGATGTATGTTTATAGATGGGAGGCATGTGTGACCCAAAATATATATGATAAAAAAGATGTCATAAACCTTTTCCCATCTGCCCTCCATCTTTCTTCCTCCATTACCCACCAGTTCATCCCTTCCATTCTTTCTTCCCCAGCTTACACCTCTACCTCTATCTTCCTTTCTCCATATTTCCTCCAAATTCTCTCCTGTTTCCTTACCTCCTGACTCCTCTATTCCTTTCTCTCCCATCCTAACCCCTCTAGTCCTTCTCTCTCCCCTTCTGCTACTACCACCACAGGAGCAGTAGCAGAATAAGATGCAGAAGCAGCAGTAAATCAAATATCAATTTATTTGAGGTAGGTTAGTTAAACTCTCAATCATGCCTCTCGAACTGTAGTCACAGGTCCAGTATATACCACAATAGTGCTTGCAAGTGTTGAAAATCAAACCTGCAGCCCAGCAACGAATTATTTAGTGTTTGGCATTTTATACTAATGTTATAGGTCAACCCCTAGTTTTGTAAACAAACAATAATAGGCTTTAAAACTTGACACATGCCCGTATTTAACCCTTTGACTGTTGAGACCCGTGATCCCACACTCAATGTCGAAAAATATTAAAAAAAAAAAAAAATTATTTTTTCTCACCAAAATCTTAAGAATATTTTTGTGAGTGTTTTAAAACCAAAAAAAAATTTGTGATCAGAACTTACAGAGATATAGAGGCATGAAGCTGACAGAAAGTTAACCGCTTATGGCAATATCCACGGCTGCCATTCACTCAGTAACGTTATTTTTACTATTGTATTTTTTCTTTGATTTTTTTAATATTTTAATTTTTCAAATAACTTTTGTGACCTGTAAGACCAATATAGTGCATAATGTACAGTGGAACCCTGGCTTTCGAGCTTAATCCGTTCCGGAAGGTCGTCCTAAAACATCCGAAACATGCAAAAACTGAATCAATATTTCCCATATAGAAATAATGTAAATACAATTAATCCAAATCAGACACCCAAAAATATAAACAAAAAATAAAGTTTTTAAAGATTAACTATAGTGTTGAAGCTCTTCAGTGGTTAGCTCTTCCCTGTGGTCATCCACCAACTCTTCCACATTAATTACTTACTTAAAATATTTTTAGTCTTAATGTAGGGTGAGAGGCGAGTTGTACTTTTTTGTAGGAAGTCACTGTGTCTGACTTTTTTGGGCTATCCTAGGTTCTCTACACACACGCTGCTATGTATGTATGATACTCTATGTAACTGTATTTGTGTATACCCGAATAAACTTACTAAGTAGCCGGTAGATGTAGGTAGCCAGTAGAGGTAGGTAGCCAGTAGAGGTAGGTAGCTGGTAGGTAGTCAGTAGGTAGCCTGGGCTACATACATACACCTACACAATATTTAATACGGCCCAGAGCCATATTACCATCAACATACCTTGTTCACTGAGTTTAATCATTTCTAACAACTACCTTTAGATGCCATCATAAACAAAGGAAGAAGTAATGAATAATTCATGCTGAGATTTGTAAAGAAAAGCCAAACGCAGATTCATACAGTTTTTCTCTAATGCTTGACAGAGAAAAAGAGAAAACGTAATGTTTTCCCTCCACTGACTCACCACTCGTTAGCATGGAAACATAGCATGTTTATATGCTATGTACGTGTTTCTTATATAATATTGAAGAAAATATCAAAGATAGATTAATAAAAATGTCTATATTAATGTAAAATAAGACATTTAATGAGCCCAAGAGCGATTATTATTAAATATACATAGCATATAAACATTGCATGTTTATCCTATGTTATGTGACGTGTTTCTTATATAATTTGAAAAAAATATCATTGATGGATTAATGAAAATGTCTATATTAACGTAAAACAAGACAATGTACCCAAGAGTGAGTCACGAAAGTATGAGCAGCCCAGGTGGACGCGTATAATACATCTGATTACCGGATCAAGGTCTGATATTCGGAACAAAATTTCGCACAAAAAATGGTCCTAAAACTGAAATGTCTGATAACTGGAGCATGCAAAAACCCGCAGTTCCACTGTATATACAGTGGAACCTCAAATTTCGAACGTATTGCTTATCGAACTCTTCGAAAATAGAACCCTTTTTTCGAACCAACTTTGTCCCTATTATCGAACTCGCCCCCTATTTTCGAACCACTGGGTACCGGACCTGTGCGGCAGCCCGCTCTGTCCACGTCCCCACGCAGGCGCAGTGAGCCAGTCTGGTTTTGTTGATGCTTGAGCGAACACTAACCTGCGCTCTTATTCAAACATTTTACGATTATTTCATTGTGTTTAGTGCTTGTGGGGCTCTGAAATAAGCTACAATGGGCCCAAAGAAACTTGCTAGTGGTACCTCTGTGGTAAAGAAAGTGAGAAACACCATAGATGCGAAGAAGGAAATAATACAGAAGTGGAATGATGTCCAAATGTTTGTGGAGAAGTACCACCCTGAGCAAGCTGAAACAAGCCATCTTTGCAACAAGTTCAGTGACAGAACCATGTCCCATTTTAGGGGAATCTTAAAGAGGCACCAGAAACAGAGGACTGTCGACAGTTATTTTGTGCGACAGGGGTCCAGTGACTCAAGCTGGTCCTAGTGACATTAAAAGACAGATAAGGGAAATAACCCCAGAGAGGGCTTTGATACCTTAAGTCTTCATGGAGGGAGATTCTCCTTCCAAATACTAACCCCAACTCCCTCTCTCCTCATCCCTATCTTCCAGATGCCATCACCAATCTTCAATAAAGGTTAGTAAAATGTTTTTTTTTTTTTTAACAAGTCGGCCGTCTCCCACCGAGGCAGGGTGACCCAAAAAGAAAGAAAATCCCCAAAAGGAAAATACTTTCATCATTCAACACTTTCACTTCACTCACACATAATCACTGTTTTTGCAGAGGTGCTCAGAACACAACAGTTTAGAAGCATATACGTATAAAGATACACAGCATATCCCTCCAAGCTGCCAATATCCCGAACTGCTCCTTTAGAGTGCAGGCACTGTACTTCCCATTTCCAGGACTCAAGTCCGGTTATATAAAAATAACCGGTTTCACTGAATCCCTTCACTAAATATTACCCTGCTCACACTCCAACAGATCGTCAGGTCCCGAATACCATTCGTCTCCATTCACTCCTATCGAACACGCTCACGCTCGCCTGCTGGAAGTCCAAGCCCATCGCCCACAAAACCTCCCTTACCCTTTCCTTCCAACCTTTTCAAGGACAACCCCTACCCTGCCTTCCTTCCCCTACAGATTTAAACACTCTCCATGTCATTCTACTTTGATCCATTCTCTCTAAATGACCAAACCACCTCAACAACCCCTCTTCAGCCCTCTGACTAATACTTTTATTAACTCCACACCTTCTCCTAATTTCCACACTGAATTTTCTGCATTAATATTTACACCACACATTGCCCTTAGACAGGGCATCTCCACTGCCTCCAACCGCCTCCTCGCTGCTGCATTCACAACCCAAGCTTCACACCCATATAAGAGTGTTGGTACTACTATACTTTCATACATTCCCTTCTTAGCCTCCATATATAAAGTTTTTTTGTCTCCACACATACCTCAACGCACCACTCACCTTTTTTCCCTCATCAATTCTATGATTAACCTCATCCTTCATAAATCCATCCGCCGACATTTCAACTCCCACATATCTGAAAACATTCACTTCTTCCATACTACTCCTCCCCAATTTGATATCCAATTTTTCTTTATCTAAATCATTTGATACCCTCATCACCTTACTCTTTTCTATGTTCACTTTCAACTTTCTACCTTTACACACTCCCAAACTAGTCCACTAACATTAGCAATTTTTCTTTAGAATCTCCCGTAAGCACAGTATCATCAGCAAAAAGCAACTGTGTCACTTCCCATTTTGTATTTGATTCCCCATAATTTAATCCCACTCCTCTCCCGAACACCCTATCATTTACTTCTTTTACAACCCCATCTGTAAATATATTAAACAACCATGGTGACATTATACATCCCTGTCTACGACCTACTTTTACCGGGAAGTAGTCTCCCTCTCTTCTACACACCCTAACCTGAGCCTCACTATCCTCATAAAAACTCTTTACAGCATTTAGTAACTTACCACCTATTCCATATACTTGCAACATCTGCCACATTGCTCCCCTATTCACGCTATCAGATGCCTTTTCTAAATCCATAAATGCAATAAAAACTTCCCTACCTTTATCTAAATACTGTTCACATATATGCTTCAATGTAAATACTTGATCTACACATCCCCTACCCACTCTAAAACCTCCTTGCTCATCCGCAATCCTACATTCTGTCTTACCTCTAATTCTTTCAATAATAACCCTACCGTACACTTTTCCTGGTATACTATATTTGTTGTGTGTATGTAAAACTATAATTAATCTCTATAAAATGTATTTTCTTTGTGAATATTTTTGGGTTTCTATTTCCACTATTTCTTATGGGAAATATTGCTACGCTTTTCAGACTTTTCGAATTTAGAACTAACTCCTGGAAAGGATTAAGTTCGATATTTGAGGTTCCATTGTATATTCACTTGTTGTATGCAGCACAATAACCGCATGAACATTACCATTATATTGACAAAACCCATTTACACAAACCCATGCTGCTTTCCCCACCTCTGACACAGCCTTCCCCACCACCCATGCCATCTTCCCCACCAACCACATGGAAATAAGTCACTTTGACTTTTCTGGGTTATCCTAGGTAATCTACACATATGCTTCTATGTTGTTTACACAAACCCGTGCTTCCTTCCTCACCACCGACACAGCCTTTCCCACCACCCACACTGCCTTCCCCACTACCCAAACTGCCTTCCCCACCACCCATGCCGTCTTCCTCACCACCCACATGGAAATAAGTCACTTTGACTTTTTTGGTGGAAGGTTGATAATCATCTGGGTTTTCAGCACTAATTCTGGTATCCTGGGCATTGCTTTCTGTCACAAACTCCTCAAAACCATGAGATTCATCTTCACTGACACTTCAGTCTGTGTTAGAACCATCACTTGGGAAGGGAAGAGTGCCAATTCGCTGAAGAGTGAGGTATTCCTTACTGCTAGGCTTGGTGACCAAGACATACTGAATTAGCACTCCCACAATGCATTGTGGCCTCCCCGATTTTTTTTTGTACTGCGCACTGACGACGCAGACCCATTCCTTCACATGCAGGCCTACCAGCTTTCTCCTGCTAGATTTGAAGCTGCTAGAATTTTGGCACATCAATACGTCACCAACACTGGCTCGTAAGATGTATCTATATGACACCAACAATGAAAGGGTTACAGACATTTGAGGTAATGACAAAATAACATTTGCCTGAAAAAATGAAGGAAACTTACTCCAGAAGAAAACTTTTAGGTCTAAAAATTTGAAATGATCACTGGAGACATCTGCTGATGTGAATAAATGTTTGTAATTTATTAGCTAAAATTACACTCTATTTCTGTTCTAGTGTCATACACAGTACACCAAAATCCACCAAAAACCCTTGCTTTAAAATTGTCCACTACAGGAAATGCATTACTCAAAACAATTAATCTGTTAGAAAGACAGTGTAAAAAATTTAAAATTAAAGGAAATGGGTTATTTTCAAGTTATTGCACAAAATCCAAAGTGATGAGAATAAAATGTGAATAACTAATTAAATATGGAACAAGTACTAATAGTGGCACCTTGATGCAAAAATATTTCACTATGCTCACCTGAATAGGTCTTGAGAAGAAACTACTGATGCTGATCCTGATGGCTCCTCTCGCTCAGTATACAGCGTAGGTGGAGAGGTTGCTTCTGACCAATAATACGATTTAACATACCGTCCAATAATTCTCCAATGCTCCCCAAAATGTTCACTTATCCACAGCTAAAAACATGTAAAACATATTAGCTAAAAACATTTTTTTTTTTTCAACAAGTCGGTCGTCTCCCACCGAGGCAGGGTGACCCAAAAAAGAAAGAAAATCCCCCAAAAGAAAATACTTTCATCATCATTCAACACTTTCACCACACTCACAAATTATCACTGTTTTCGCAGAGGTGCTCAGAATACAACAGTTTAGAAGCATATACGTATAAAGATACACAACATATCCCTCCAAACTGCCAATATCCCAAACCCCTCCTTTAAAGTGCAGGCATTGTACTTCCCATTTCCAGGACTCAAGTCCGACTATATGAAAATAACCGGTTTCCCTCAATCCCTTCACTAAATATTACCCTGCTCACACTCCAACAGATCGTCAGGTCCCAAGTACCATTCGTCTCCATTCACTCCTATCTAACACGCTCACACACACTTGCTGGAAGTCCAAGCCCCTCGCCCACAAAACCTCCTTTACCCCCTCTCTCCAACCCTTTCGAGGACGACCCCTACCCCTCCTTCCTTCCCCTATAGATTTATATGCTTTCCATGTCATTCTACTTTGATCCATTCTCTCTAAATGACCAAACCACCTCAACAACCCCTCTTCTGCCCTCTGACAAATGCTTTTATTAACTCCACACCTTTTCCTAATTTCCACACTCCGAATTTTCTGCATAATATTTACACCACAAATTGCCCTTAGACAGGACATATTAGCACATTTTAGCTCGAGCTTGCCATTATATTTATCATATATAAAAACAAAATAAATTTTAGAGTTCATTAGTGAAAACAGCTTAAGAGATTTTTATTTACGACAGCACAGTGCAAGAAATTTACTGCATAAAATTATTTTCTATAATGCCTAATTTTACAAAGACAGGACGGATGTTATCTTCTATTTATTTTATTTATTTAATAATTTGAACATACAGAAGTACAAAAAAATACAGGTAAGAGCAGCATGCCAAAGCCACTTGTATGCATAGCATTACGGGCAGGCCTAAAATTAACTTAAGATTAACTAAGCAATGATGTAATCAGTGATAAAACATTATTGTAAACAGATAACAAAAAAGCACAAATGAGTATTACAAAGACAGGTCATATGGTTGCATGCATTGCTGTACATTCAGTAGAATGGAGTATTCTGTTAGGTAGTGTATTTAAAAATAAAGTTAGATTGGGTCTTAGGTTTAACATTTATGTGATATAATTATGAGAAACATTTAAGATATACAATTTATAAGGTTCAGTTATTCAGTGTTTATTTGGTTTTGGGTGAGTAAGTGATCTTTGAGAAGAGACTTGAATTTATAAACAGGTAGTGTTTCTTTTATATTTACAGGTAATGAATTCCAGATTTTAGGGCCTTTTACGTGCATTGAGTTTTTGCATAGCATAGATGGACACGAGGAACATCAAAGAGTGATCTGTGCCTTGTGTTATGGTCATGTGTTCTGTTGAGGTTGGCAAGGAGATGTTTGAGGGAAGGGTTAATATCAGAGTTAAGTGTTCTATGAATGTAATAGGTGCAGTAATAAGTATGGATGTTTTGTATGGTGAGTAGATTTAGTGTTTTGAATATTGTGGAGTGTGTTGCCTGTAGTGGGAATTTGTTATCATTCTGACTGCAGCCATTTGTTGGGTAATTAGTGGTCTGAGATGGTTAATTGTTGTTGAGCCCCATGCACAAATTACATAGGTGAGATAGGGGTAAATAAGAGTGTGATATAGGGCCAGGAGGGCTGTCTGTGGAACATAGTACCGTATCTTCGATAGTATGCCTACGATCTTGGAAATTTTCTTAGAAATTTGTTGTATATGTGTATGAAATTTGAGTCTATTATCAAGGTGGATTCCTAAGACTTTTCCCTCTGTTAGCTTTGTGATAGGTGATCTGTTTATCATTATGTTAAGAGGGACATCTGTAGCTCTGTTACCAAACTGAATGAAGTAGGTTTTGTCAATGTTTAGTGTAAGTTTGTTAGTCCTCATCCAGGTAGATATTTTCTGTAATTCGGTATTTACAGTATTGGCTAGCATGACTGGGCTCGGGTGAGAGAAGACGTATGTAGTGTCATCTGCAAATAGTGTGGGTTTGAGTAATTGTGAAGCATTTGGTAGGTCATTTATGTATAGGAGAAAGAGAACAGGGCCAAGGACACTTCCCTGTGGGACACCAACTGTAATTGGTTGTGCGGAAGAGTTTGCCCCATTTGTGTACACATATTGGCTTCTGTTGCTGAGGTATGACTTGAGGTAGTTGAGGGAGTGCCCTCTTATACCATAGTGTGACAATTTTATGTGGAGCAAGTCATGGTCAACTGTATCAAAAGCTTTACGTAAGTCAATGAAGATCCCCAGTGGGACTTCTTTTTTCTCTATTGCAGTGTATGTATGTTCTAGCATGTGTATAATAGCATCACTAGTATTTTTATTAGGCCTGAATCCAAATTGGCAGGGGTTGAGTATGTTTTGGGAGATGAGGTAGGAGTACAGTAGTTTCATTTATGAATTAATTTTTCGAAGATTTTTGAGAGAGGGTGTAAGTTCGATATTGGCCTATAGTTATTCAACTCTGTTTGGTCCCCTCCTTTATGGATCGGGGTGACCCTTGCTATTTTGAGAACTGTAAGGAAGGTAGAGGATTCAATGGATTTGTTAAAGAGTGTTGCAATGACTGGTGATAGCACTTGTGACGCTTTTTTGTATATAAAGGATGTTAAGGTATTTAAATCTCCTGTCTTGTTTTTTAGTGTGTTGATAATAAGGGAGACTTCGTATGGGTTAGTCGGAGCTAGGAACAGTGTGTTCAGGTAGTTGCCAGTGAGGTAGTCATTTGGTGGGGTACACATGTAAAAATTAGACTACACAAACATGTAACTAACTTTGCGCTCCTCATCCTCTGTATCGTAGACTAGCAAGACATCTGCATCAAGTGGATGATGGGTAACCTCAGATGGCGTAAACCTGACCTTGTAAGAGGCCACATTTCTCCCATAGTCTTTTGTTACATGAATGAATTTGTTGATGACATCAGTGAACACAAACTGAAAGAAATTACATGTGGTTCAGTCTTCAACTTAACATTTTATAAGAAAACATATTCATTGTAAATACATTCTACTCTGGTATTTTAAAAAAAAAATATATGTACTGTACATCCAAAAAATGTGTTTTACTGCAGATATACAATACTGAACAATATACTATTCACCTTTATCACATGAATTGAAGGAGCCATTAAAAATACTGTAATCGAAAATCAGACAAAATGCAGCCCTGATCATCAATTAAATAAACTGAAGAAGCTAAAATTTACAGTTCCTACTTAGTCACTAAGAAATAGCTGATGCAAAAGCTAATTACCCTGGATGTGTATTTATCATTTTTGTAAAATTTGTTTATGATGGCTGGCCGTCCAGTGAATGTTTTGAACTTGCTAGTTTCATTCTTAAAGGTGGTCCCATAATCATCCGAGATAAAAACATGGGAGGCTGATAAATGGGTCTGACGAGCATCTCGCGTAACACAAACTACAACATCACTTCCTTCTCCAGCCCAGTCTATCATTACTTGAGGGTGGCTGTCATTCAGGGAAAACTGAAAAAAAAATAAAATTATACAGTACAGTAATTTATTTAAAAAAATAAATTCAATTATCTAGGCCTAAGGCTTTCAAATCATAAATAAACCAAAAGTTTTTTATATAACATTATGAGGTACAAACTAACAGCATTTATATACAGTACCTAGGGCCAGATAAACTAAGACTAGCACTTCTGGAGGCAGTAAAGATGTCAGGTTTGAAAGCAATATGTGGTGTGAATATTACAAAGAATTTGTAGTTTTGGAGATTACACTAGGTGGTGCAGGGTTGCTGAAAGCATTATCCAGAGGACTGAGGAGAGGTTGTTGAGGTTCAGATATTTAGAGGGATCAAACAAAATATTGGATGACTAGGAGGGTGTATAAATCTGTGGTGGATGGAAGGAGAGGTAGGAGTTATTCTATGAAAGGCTAGAGGGAGGGGGTAAAGGAGGTTGTGTGTGTAAGGGGCTAGAACATCTAACAGGTGCGTGAGCAAGCTAGACAGGGATGGAGGCAAGTGGCTTTTATGACTTGATATGCTGTTGATGTGAGCAAGGTTACATTTATGAATAGATTCAGGGAAACCAGTTAACCAGACACGAGTCCTGGAGGTGGAAGTACAGTGCCTGCTGAGGGGTGGGGGATACTGCAGTTTGGAGGGGGCATGTCAGCAGTACTGTCAGCAAGCCTCTGGGAAAGCAGTGATAAGAGGGAATGATGGTGAAAGTGTTTCTTCTTTTTAGGTCACCCTACCTTAGTGAGAGAGAGCCAGTGGTATAAATAAAAAAATTAAGACTCTTATTCTTTGTATGATACTCTCAAAATTTTTCCACACAATCTCTCTCCTTTGTAAGGTCTGATTTTGTGTTCTCTCATTTCCATTACATGATATTTATCAACATTAAGTTCCCTCTGTCACCCAAATTGCTAAATTTATCCATATCTTATAAAGATTGAAGTTATTTTTATTATTTATCTTAAACCAGATATTTTACATGACAAGTAAAGAATTTCATAGTTTCCTGTTCCTTCTGGTAAGTCATTTATATAAATAACTTTTTTTTATTATTATTAACACACTGGCCGATTCCCACAAAGGCAGGGTGGCCCGAAAAAGAAAAACTTTCACCATCATTCACTCCATCACTGTCTTGCCAGAAGGGTGCTTTACACTACAGTTTTTAAACTGCAACATTAACACCCCTCCTTCAGAGTGCAGGCACTGTACTTCCCATCTCCAGGACTCAAGCCCGGCCTGCCGGTTTCCCTGAATCCCTTCATAAATGTTACTTTGCTCACACTCCAACAGCACGTCAAGTATTAAAAGCCATTTGTCTCCATTCACTTATGAGGTACAAATTTTTTTGGCACTGGCAATTTCCCTAGGGAGCAGCTTTCCTAATATCACTATTCATATTTTCCTCTCGGATACCTATACATTCATAAAAAAAAAAAGTGACCTGAAAATAAAGTACTGTGATGCAAATTCTTGCTATGCCTTTTTTAACCCTTTCACTGTTGGGACCCGACTCTAAACTCTCGTTCTGTGTCAAAAAAAAAAAAATCTTATGAAATGATAGAGAATCTTTTCCCAATGGTAATGATGCCAAAAAAAAAACGAAATTTGATGGAAAATTTACGGAATTATGCTCTCGCGAAGCTAGAGCACGGCGATATTTACACATCACCAATTTTGCCCACTTTGAGCCCTATTTTCAGCCAATTTCATTGTTCCAGTTGACCAAACTCATAGCTATTTCACTAGAACTCCATTTGTTCTATCAACTGAGTACAATAAACTTCCCAATTCCTGATTTCAATTACCCAATAAAGTGCTCAAAAATTGGTAATTTTGCCAATTTCATACACAATTCAAGTAAGGCCAATTTCAAAATAGGGGCCAGAATAAACAATGCTGACATTCCTAACACTAAAATAACATTTCCTCTGTTCATTAGTCACGTCTCCAGGCCCCTCTTATATTATGCTTGCTTTCCATTTTGAATTTTTATTCATACAAAAAAATAGTAGAGTTACTCTTATGCAGACTAATGCATTATTGTAAAAACTGTATAAATAATATCAGTGCATTTGTGAAAGCATATTAGACCCACAAGTTCACGTGTATTGGACGTGTGGCGTGATTTGTTTACTCTTGAACATCGGCAAAAATTGAACATTTCCGCTACTTTGAGCTCAATTTCAAGGTACTTTAAATCTGAAAACCATTCAAAATCATCTCTATTTCTGTAATATATCTTCCATTCTATCAAATGAGACCAAGAAAATGAGAATACATCCATAAATACTATATGAAAAAACACCGAAATGTCAATGTTTTAAACCCAAAACACGGTCAGTTTTTTTTTTATCATGTACTGCGTGCTGCAAGATTTTTTTATGTTGCGCACACTGAGCATACAGACCCATTCTCTCACACATAGGCCTACCAGTTTTCTCCCACACGATTTTAAGGCGCTTGAATTTTGGCGTAGTTTTATGAGACCGACACTGGCTCTCAAGCCGTAATATTAAGGGACTAATTTCTGGATCAAAACCAACATAATGACCTAATCTAAACTTGATAAAATTTCATACACATTATTTTTCAAACCAATTAAAGAATTTGCGTAATATTAATAAACTGTATTTAAGACATTTTTTAAAATTCTTTATTACTATACAAAAAACAGGTTGGATTATTGGTTTCATGCATAGCAGTAAAATAATCGAGATGCTAAGAAAACCAACAAACTCGCCAGTGAACAAAAACTGCATTGCATAAAATTTTGTATGGTTGGTTACTGAGATATTGTTACAAAAACACTGCAAACATTTGAAGATCTCATGATATCTGGTGAATATGTTGGTTTTCCTTATGTTGCAAAGATTTTAAGTCAATCTTAACAAAAGTGACATTTGGTGAGTTTGTCGTTTGTTTTCTCAACACCTGGTGATGGACCAGGCCAGGGGCCCCTGACCCCCGGAACACCCTCCAGGTATACTCCAGGTATACCCCAATTTTGGATGCAGCAGTTCAATTTCTCTGACAGAGTGCCACTCAATCCACTTTCCTGTTTCTATCAGTGTAGCTGAATGACCTACACAGGTTTAGTGCTTATTAATAAGATGAACCCTTTCACTGTCGAGACCCCGAAGTAAAAGCGATGACAATGTCAGGATTTAAAAGAAAATTCTTCTGAAATGGTAGAGAATCTTCTTCTGGGAATAATGACACCAAAAATACAAAACTGAAGAAAAACTTAAAAGAATTAGGCAGGTACAAAGTTGGTGGTGAGGGTACAATTTACACATCAGAGATTTCATCCATTCTGAGTCCTGGTTTGAGCCAATTCCATTGCTCAATTTGACCAAATTCCATGCTATGTATTTCACTAGTATGCCTTCTGTTCAACTGAGTGAGTACAAGAAACTGCCCAATCAACTCGCACAACTAACCTATAAAGTGCACAGCAGTCAGTGATTTGGCCAATTTTTATACAAAATTCAACAAATTCCAAATTAAAGACAGAATCCAAAATAAACACCACGCATTCCAGCAACTAAAGAACCCTATCCTCTGTTTATTAATCATGTCCCCAGGACTCTCTTATGTTAAGCATGCCCTCCATTTTGAATCCATCACACACACACACACACACACACACACACACACACACACACACACACACACACACACACACACACACACACACACACACACACACACACACACACACAAAATCATAGGTTTACCCTATTTCTTGGAAAATAAAATATATCTAGGAATGATAAGTCATGGTTTAGGGCAGGGGTAGGCAAAATTTTTGTCAAGATGGGCAAAAATGTAAATACAGTGGGACCCCCCCCCCCACCATCCAAGGGGAATACGTTACCTCGGATACCCAAAACAACAGATAGTAGCGAACCCTATACTATATGTATGTCTCTTTCTGTTTGCAAACATACCCATGATAATGTTTGATTAATTATGCACAAAAAGTTAAGAATTAGCACTTTTTCACTGATGGGAAGCACTTCACTACTTTTGCACTCTGTGGCCATTATTAAGCAAAAACTAAGGTTATTTTCAGGCTAGGTGGTGCAGTCCTACTGCATGTTAAGCTTCAGAGGCCAAGACAGTGTGGTAAATTTAAGTACATACATGAACATTAAAATAGTATAAAATACCGACAGATTGTTAGGTAAGACACATATGCAACAGTTAGGTATCTTTATTTCGAAACGTTTCGCCTACACAGTAGGCTTCTTCAGTCGAGTACAGAAAAGTTGATAGAAGCAGAAGAGACTTGAAGACGATGTAATCAGTCCATCACCCTTAAAGTTTTGAGGTGGTCAGTCCCTCAGTCTGGAGAAGAGCATTGTTCCAAAGTTTGAAACAATAAAGATACCTATAAAGATACCTAACTGTTGCATATGTGTCTTACCTAACAATCTGTTGGTATTTTATACCATTTTAATGTTCAATCTGTCAGACACTGCAACACAAGGGTATCTTGGTACAGACCTGGAATCAACTTCGACTACCTCTACTAGTGAGAGCGGCTGCATTTGAGAGGGACCTGACCTCCCAACATCTGCGTTCTACTAGTGACCTGTCTCACCTCCTGGCGCTATATAAGGCTCCATCCTGTCACTTCAACTCCATATTGTTTCAAACTTTGGAACAATGCTCTTCTCTAGACTGAGGGACTGACCACCTCAAAACTTTAAGGGTGATGGACTGATTACATCGTCTTCAAGTCTCTTCTGCTTCTATCAACTTTTCTGTACTCGACTGAAGAAGCCTACTGTGTAGGCGAAACGTTTCGAAATAAAGATACCTAACTATTGCATATGTGTCTTACCTAACAAGTACATACATGCAAGATATTTTCAAATTTATCATTATACAAGTACATATTACAAAATATATTTGTCTGTCATCAGATTTTTCTCCAAATTGGTGAGAAAGGTGGAACTCTATCATTATTTTTTTTTTTTTTTTTTTTTTTTTTTTGTGACAAAATTATGTCTAATTGGGGTTGACAGAATTTCCCATAATGACAACTGATTGTAAACACATACTTGTCAGATAAGGCTGATCCATAATGAGATTTTACATATTTCAACTTAGAAAATGTACTTACTATACACACAGGCATCACAGACACATAGAGATCGACAAACGACAGGGTAGAGCATACATGATGTTGCCACATGTACACTATGCCAGTCATAACCAATACAAAATTAAACACGAATGCAACATGTTCTGTGCAATAAATATGGATGCATTACATTGATATTATTTTTTTGGAAAATATTAATTAGTTTTATAAAATTTATAAAAAGCTATTCCAGGCTTGTGGGCCACATAATAGGCAATGGGCCACATCCAGCCCATGGGCCATAACTTGCTGACCCCTGGTTTAGGGCATCCCAATATCTGAAGCAAACCTAATAAAAACCCATTAAACAGACTAGTGGGAGGCCTCAGAAAAATCATCAAATCAAATATCTACACAACTTTCAGCCCTATGTCTAGCTTTTTCCAGTCCTTAAACCAACCAAAATCATCTCTATTTCATTAGTATGTTTTCCATTCTGTCAAATGATACCAAGAAACAAGCCAATAAAACCATAAAAACTATCCATAAAAAAAACAATAAAACCATAAAGACTATTTTAAACCAAACACAAAATCAAAGGTTTGCTTTTTCCATCATGCATGAAGAAAGATTGTACACACTCACCGCACAGACCCATTCTCTCATGCCAAAATTTACCATTCACAGCATATTTGAGGTTGCTGTGCTCAAAATGCAGATTTACCTTAACAACACTGGCATCAGTAATGAAGATCTATGTAAGAGACA